TATTAAAAATTACAAAAAAAAAAAACACTCTACTTAATTTCGCTCTGCCTGCCGAGGGACGTCACTCCCTCCCCACAAATTACCCCCCTTTCCCAAACCCTCTTATCTTCATAGAAATACCAGAAACAGAAAAGAATTTAAAACCTTTATGGGTGTACGGGCATCAGAGAAAAGGGCAGATAGACGGAGGGGCCGGGGGGTGTGAGCGGGGAGGACGGGGGCGGGGATGGGGAGGGGAGGAGACACGGGCGGGCCTCGGGCTGCACCCCAGGGGCCCGGCTGCTGGACCGCGGCCTGCGGTGCAGAAGGTCCCCCCACTTCCTCCTCCCTCCGCCGGGTAAGGGAGCGGAGCGGGAGGGAGACCTACTGTGCGCTGTTGGAGTGACCGGCGCAGTGACCGGTGTTGATGGTCACACGGGCGGGCAGGCTCCGCGCTCGGCGCTCCGTGAGTCGGTCCCACGGTCCTGCCCGCGGCTGGTGGGGAGCAGGTTGCGGCGGGTCCCCAGCCCCGGGGAGGGGCGGTGCTCACAGGTGTCTGACCGCTGAGTGAGCCGCTTTACCTTCCAAGGCGGCGGGTTAGTGGGAAACAACTTTAAAAAAAAAAATTTGATTTTGGAGGAAGAGAGAGAGAGAGAGAGAGAGAGAGAGAGACTTGTCCCACTTACTGATGCCTTCATTGGTTAATTTTTAAAAAATTAAAAAATATATATATATTTTATTGATTTTTTACAGAGAGGAAGGGAGAGGGATAGAGAGTTAGAAACACCGATGAGAGAGAAACATCGATCAGCTGTCCCCTGCACACCTCCTACTGGGGATGTGCCCGCAACCAAGGCACATGCCCTTGATCGGAATCGAACCCGGGACCCTTGAGTCCGCAGGCCGATGCTCTATCCACTGAGCCAAACTGGTTAGGGCATAGAAATATATTTAAAAAAAAAAATAAAGCGCAGGGGAAAAGAGTTGTACGCGTGGGAGCGACTGATTCAGGGTACCCCTCATCTGCGTCTGCGGTGGGGGGTGGGGGAAGGGCTGTCCAGGCCGGTGACACAGGGTCCCTTTCTCCCTCCGCAGCTCGCCTTTCCCCAGACGCTGCGCCTCTGCCGGAGAGGAGCCTGAGGGAGGGGCCGGAAGTGCCGCTATCCGTCCTCAGGCTCCGAAAGCCATGTCCCAGGTAAGGAGCATCTCTCCTCCCCTCCCAGGCGTGCGCTGCTTGTCAGGCTGTGTGCGAACAGTCTGGTTTTCTCCTGAGACTCACCAGCCTACCAGCGTCCCCTCCATGAGGGACCTGGCCCTGGTATCCTCCAATCCAGTGTCAGGGGGTCCCCGGAAGCCCAGTGAGCATCCCCTTTTTCTCAGCATTTTCACCTTTATCCAAAAAATAGTTTAGTGCCACCTGTGGCTCTCAGGAGGCCACGTGTCAGTGATTATAGCTTGTTTACTATACACTGAGTGGCCAGATTATTATGACCACCCCATCAGTACAATGAAGTGGTTGTGCAAAGCTACACTAATAAAAGAGAGACATGCAAATTGGTGTCACTCTGCTACACCCACCAGCCAATCAGGATGAGTATGCAAATCAACCCAACAAAGATGGCGGTTACTTTGCATACGCGGGCGCGGAGCAAAGACTGAAGGCTGACCGGAGTGAAGACTGAAGAGGCTTGGCTTCTACGCTGCGGCCGGACCAAAGGCCTGGGTCCCGGGTGCCGGAGGAAAACGGGTGCCGGCAGCCAGTGGAAGGAAGGCCTATTGCGCGAATCTTCGTGCAACGGGCTTCTAGTAATAATAATAATAAAACCTTGATAGTATTTGCTTAGGAAGTTTTCAATATTCAGTATTTTTGGAAGTGTCAGTGAAGTACTGATGGGGTGGTCATCATAATCTGGCCACTCAGTGTATAATGTAATGATGTGAAATTAGTGGAGAAAGGATGGGTTATGCATTTAGAGGGGAAAAAAAATTTCTTCCTGTTCTAGCCAGTTTGGCTCAGTGGATAGTGTCAGCCTGCGGACTGAAGGGTCCCAGGTTCTATTCCGGTCAAGGGCACATGCCCGGGTTGCGGGCTTGATCCCCAGTAGGAGGTGTGCAGGAGGCAGCCGATCCATGATTCTCTCTCATCATTAATGTTTCTATCTCTCTCTCCCTCTCCCTTCCTCCCTGAAATCAATAAAAATATATTTAAAAATAAGTAACTAAATTTCTTCCTTACAATGTATAGGTTAAATCTAAACCATAAAACCATGCAAACTGCTCGGTGAAAACATAGAGAACGGTTGGAAAGAGGAAGCTGGGCCAGAAGCGCGAGTCAGCGCTGTCCAGTGGCACTTCCTGGGGTGACCGTGGCTGCAGGGCACTTGTATGTCCTGGCGGGACTGAGGACCTGGACTGTCAATGTGAACTGACTTACATGTAAATAGCGACACGCGGTGAGCAGCTGGTGTGTTGGACAGCACAGATCCGGGCTCATGAAACGGCAAAGACAGGAAGAAAGTGGAGGGTGAGCCTGTCCGAATCTCTCACTGCACAGGTGAGGAAAGAGAGCGCCAGGGAGGAAAGCCGTGTCCCCGTCACTGGTTGGCGACTGTGCGGCTGTAGGGAGCGGTCGTGTGCACTGAGGGTCAGGAACACGGATGACGGGGCGTGAGGAGCTGAAGAGGGTGGAGGGAGGAGGACACTGTGGAGCCGTGTGCCCACCGTGACGACCGAGCACTCATCTCGTTCCTGTTCCCAGACCGTCACTGGCCCCCGCTCCACTGGGAATGAGATCCCAGTGTCCTTACCACGGCCTGCAGGGCCCTCCTGACCCAGCCCCGGGCGCTCCCAGACCTCATTCTGCACGTCTGCGTCTCCGCTCCAGCCACACTGGCCACTTACGGTGCCTCAGACGTCCTGGGCTTGTCCCTGTCTCTGAATCTTTGCATTCGCTCCCCCTAGATCAGCGGTTCTCAACCTGTGGGTCGCGACCCCTTTGGGGGTCGAACGACCCTTTCACAGGGGTCGCCTAAGACCATCGGAAAACACATATATAATACATATTGTTTTTGTGATTAATCACTATGCTTTAATGATGTTCAATTTGTAACAGTGAAATTGGGGGTCATCACAACATGAGGAACTGTATTAAAGGGTCGTGGCATTGGGAAGGTTGAGAACCACTGGTATAAAGGGAAAGCTTCCTCCATGTTGCTTTGCTCAGACTTTGAGAGGCAACTCCTATAAGACCCCTGGCGTAATAAAGACTCCAAATTTGACAACCACCAAGACCGGAGACACCCCAGAACTTACTCCACTGGGGCCCCAGAGGCCGCTGCCACTTTGGGCCTCCCCATCCATTGCTGGGCTGAGGGGAGATCTGACACGGGCGCCAGCAGGGCTCGGTACTGACCTGTGTGGTGGTACTTCAGCACCTGACCAGCCAGCTCAGTCCAGATGCGCCCCATTGAGTGCCATCCGTCCGTCAGCAGCTAAGAGCGGGCATGGCTATGACATGCCACACCTAAGGGGCATGTCCGAGACCAGCAGCCAGCCCTGGTAAGGCTGGAGCAGGTGCGTCTCCTAGGAAGGTTGTACATTTTGAATTTTAGGAAACATACCAGGCCTTGTTCCATGTTATAAAGAAGATCCTTGCTCTAACTGGTTTGGCTTAGTGGATAGAGCGTCAGCCTGCAGACTGAAGGGTCCCAGGTTCGATTCCAGTCAAGGGCATGTACCTTGGTTGCGGGCACGTCCCCAGTGGGGAGTGTGCAAGAGGCAGCTGATCGATGTTTCTCTCCCATCGATGTTTCTAACTCCCTATCCCTCTCCTTTCCTCTCTGTAAAAAAATCAATAAAATATATATATTAAAAAAAAAAAAAAGATCCTTAATTCAACACGCAGTAGCCGAGCCAGCTGTCCTGTAACATTCAAAACTCTCTCCTCGCTCTTGGGGAGCTGTGTGCGCCCCTCCAGCGAGAGCTGTGGGTGTTTTTTATGCACGTCATGATCACATTGGAAACGTTCACTATTTAAGTTCACTAGCAGAGCTTAGAATTACTCTTATTTTGTCTCTGAGGTAGCAGATAGGTTACCCATTGTCTTTGAGACTCAGTGGGATTATCAAGAGCTGTTAGGGAACCTTTTGTTGCCTCTGCTTGTTCTCTGTGATGGCATCCATTGGTTTAAGTTATATTTTTGCAAAATGACTATAAAACTTGTTTACTATCTTATTACATATCTATTTAATTTTAGAAAATCAAAATTATAAGCATTAATAGGATAGGATATGTATGTGTATATATGGGATGTATATATAGATATATCTGGAACATTCCACTGTAGAGTTTGGGGGAAATGCTGGTTTAGGCCATATACATCTTGGAAGGCTTAACTCATGTTCCTGTCTTTCCCTTGAAGCCTTTCTTCACTTCCACAGTCTATCTTGATTTTCCATATTGAGAAATGCCCTAGCATTTAGTATGAAAAACGTATTATTTTATACTTGACTGTTTAGTGTTGTTATTGCCCATTTTTGCGTGTGACAAGTCTTTTCTCCGTCAGTAGAGACAGTGAAATCGTACACTCAGCGTGACAGCATCAACACTAAGCACAGAGAAGTCATCCAGCAGTTACTTGACACGTGTTGCTCAGAACCTAAGATGCTATGAGAAAGTTTCACTCTATGTAATATTTCTCTCCAGAAGTATAAGTGATTTAGCTCTTCACACTACACCCGTGTGAGGGTAAGAACACCAGTCGGACAAAAATACGTTTATGTCATTTCAGGATTTGGTGACATTTGGGGATGTGGCTATAGATTTCTCTCAAGAGGAGTGGGAATGGCTAAATCTTGCTCAGAGGAATTTGTACAGAAAGGTGATGTTGGAGAACTACAGGAACCTGGAATCGCTGGGTAAGATCTCCCCGTTATTCAGAATCTCCCCAGAGGGCTGCTCCCTCACATAATGTTTGGGGAGCCTCTGATATATGTTGCTGCATTTCTCTTCCTGCTGCTCCCCAAAATAGGCTGAGTTTTGTAGAATTGGCAGCTTCATTAGACTATCCCCACAACTTCCCCTTTCTTCAAAACACTCCCTCTTCCTTAACTCTCTCTCTAATGCCCCCACCTCCTGAGGCCCAAGGGCTTGATCTGATTTCAGGGCCTGGCTAATTTCCCCTTTATTTCTTCTACGCAGGAGTTTCCGTTTCAAAGCCAGAGGTGATCTCGCTTCTGGAGCAAGGAAGAGAGCCCTGGATGGCAACGAAGGCCAGGACAGAAGGCACATGTTCTGGTGAGTGAGAGAGAACTGGGGAGGTAGAGGCCACTGCAAGAAAACCGAGCTCCGCCCTTCTGAAGGGTCCAGCTCGCCACGCGTATTGTCTGGGTGGCTTCCTTAAAGGCTCCAGGCCTGGGACACACATTGAAGCATCTTTTAGCATGAGCTCCCCAACTTACTCTCCTTGTATACATTCTCTCACAGGGTCTCCTTGTCCTCGCCTTTGAGTTTTGCACCAGTCGCTCCAACACATGAAAATATCCAGACACAGCAATGCCTCTACTTTTCCTTTTGCCACTCATTTCTTTTTGGTTGAAGGATTGATTCATTTCTTTTTTCATTATTTTACTAACAATGTTGAGCATCTTTTCATGAACGTATTGGCCATTCATATATCTTTTGTGAAGTGTTCAATTTTTTGCCCAGGTTTTCAGTGGGTTGTTTTTTTTCTTATTGAGTTGTAAGAGTTCTTTCTTTAGATCAATGGTTCTCAACCTTCCTAATGCTTCGACCTTTTAATACAGTTCCTCATGTTGTGGTGACCCCCAACCATAAAATTATTTTCATTGCTACTTCATAACTGTAATTTTGCTACTGTTATGAATCGTAATGTAAATATCTGATATGCAGGTTGTATTTTCATTGTTACAAATTGAACATAGTTAAAGCATAGTGATTAATCACAAAAATAATATGTAATTATATATGTGTTTTCCGATGGTCTTAGGTTACCCCTGTGAAAGGGTCGTTCAACCCCCAAAGGGGTCACGACCCACAGGTTGAGAACCGCTGCTTTAGATGGTCTTACTACAAGTTCTTTGTCATTTGTATGTATTGTGATATACCTATGCCAATTGTGGTTTGGCGTTCTTGTTTTTCTACTGCTGTCTTTTGAACATTCGAAGTTTTCCATTTTCATAAAGTCCAATTTATTTGTCTTGATTGGTGCTTTTGTGCCATCTCTAAGAAATTCTTGCTACCCCCAGGTCACCAACGTATTCTTCTATTTTTTCCCCCTAGGAATGTTCTATTTTAATTTTTACATTTGGGTAATGATCCATTGAGCTAATTTCTTGGGTGAGATAAATATTGAGGTTCATTTCCCCCCTTTGGATGTTCAGTTATTCCAGGACTCTTTGTTGTAAAGACTTTCCTTTCCCCATTATATTGCTTTGTTGGAAAGCAATTGAACATAAATGCAGGGGTCTAGTTCTGAACTCTGTTCTGTTCCATTGATCTACATCTATCCTTTCACCAGTACCATACTGTCTTGATATCTGTAGCTTTCTTTTTTTTTTTTTTTTGCTTGTCAAATGATCTTTAATTGAAACATTTTCCTTTGTAGTTCTTAACTAGCCGGACATTCCACTGCACCACTGTTGATATCGTCTATGATGTCATGAGGGTGGCGACCATCAACATTGCACCCCACAGACTGGGCAGTACCCAGGATCTCTTTAATGGTTCCAGAGAGTTCTCTAGCTAAAGATCGGTGACGCATCTGTCGGGCAATGCTGACAATCTCATCAAAAGTGATATTTCCACTGTGCTTAATGTTTTTTTGCTTCTTTCTGTCTCTTGGCGGTTCTTTGAGGGCTTTGATGATCAGGGCAGAGGCTGAAGGCACTACTTCGATCTGGGCCTGTCTGTTCTGAATGGTCAGTTTCACTGTAATCCTCAGACCCTTCCAATCACCGGTTGCTTTGGCGATGTCATCACCAACCTTTTTTGGAGACAGGCCCAGGGGGCCGATCTTGGGGGCCAGGGCAGACGTGGCGCCCACTTCCCCGCCGGTGCACCGCAGGTAGACGACTTTGATTTCGTTGGGGTCGAACTTCGGCGGCATGGCGGAGGCAGCTGGTGTCGGATGAACCCGGATTCGGGACGACCGAAGAAAGTTGCACCTGAGCCTCCTCCGAGCCGAAAGCGATATCTGTAGCTTTCAGATATCAGATAATCTATTCAAAAAGCCTGCTGGGATTTCACTTGGGATTATGATACATCTACATCAACTTGGGGAAGAACTGACATCCTAACATCATTGAGTTTTCCAGTTCATGAGTATGGTTTCTGTAGCCATGTGTTAAGGTTTTCTTTCTCTTAGCAATATTTTATAGTCATCCAGTGTAGTGGTTTAAAAACTTTAAAAAATATTTTTCTGAGTCTTATTTTTGAGTGCCATAATTATAAATAGAATTCTTAAAAACTCCCATCTTCCAGTTGTTTGCAGCTAGTATGTAAGAATGTAAAGTGATTTTTATATGAACTATCTTACAACCTTGCTAGATTCATCTAGTAGTTGAGCATTTTCTGCAGAGACAATCATATTATCTGCCAATACAGTTTTCTTTCTTCCTTTCTGATCCTTATGCCTTGTTTTTCTTGATTTATTATAATAGCTTGGGTCTCCTGTACAATGTTGAATTGTACCACTTGTAAGAGCACATATACTTGCATTGTTCTCAATCTTAAGGGGAAATGTATTCAGTCTTTCACCATTAAGTTGATGTTAGTTTGCTTAGATGCTCTTTTTCAATTTTAGGAAGTTCATTCCTATTCCTGGTTTGCTGAGAAATTTTACAAATAAATTTAGTAAAATACTCTTTCTACATCTATTGAAATGATCATATGATTTTTCATCTTTAATCTGCTGATGTAATGATCATTCATTGATTTTCACATATTAAACCAGTGGTTCCCAAACTTATTTGGCCTACCGCCCCCTTTCCAGAAAAAATATTACTCAGCCCCTGGAAATTAATTTTTTTAAAATTTTAATAGCAGTTACTCATCGCCCCCAAATGCACCTGTGGCCATCACCGCTCCCCTGGATCGCTGCAGCACCTACCAGGGGGCGGTAGCGCCCACTTTGGGAATCATTGTATTAAACCAACCTTGCATTCCTGGGATATTTAATTTTTCTAATAGTTACCTTACTGACTATATATAAGAAGAATTTATGTTTTAATCAACTCTCTTAAGTTCTTATGTGTTTTATTCACTGATTTTTGTTTTAAAAGTTCTTTTCTTCTGCATAAGCACAAACTATTTTCTTACTATCTTTTAGATTTGGAGTATGCATTTAAAAACAGTGAATTTTCATCAAAGCAAGTTATTTATGAAGAATCATCCAAAGTAGTGACTACAGGAAGAAGCCATCTTAGTTACAGTCTTGATTGCCCCAGTTTGATAGAAGACTATGAAAGTGGGGACTGGTTTAACAACAAGTTGCAAAGTAAGGAGGTACATCCTAGTCAACTGATCATCACGCATAAGGAAATCCTTACTGAAGATCAAAGTAGTGAATGTACTAAATCTTGGCAAACTTTCCACCAGGATGCAATATTTGCTATAAAACAGGGTTTTCCCACCAAAGAAAGAGCACATAAGCATGAGCCACAAAAGAGAAAATACCGCAAAAAATCTGTGGACATGAAGCCTAAGAAAGTCTATGTAGAAAAGAAACTTTTGAAATGTAATGAGTGTGAGAAAGTTTTCAACCAGAGCTCATCCCTTACTCTTCACCAGAGAATTCATACTGGGGAGAAACCCTATGCCTGTGTTGAATGTGGGAAAACCTTCAGCCAGAGTGCAAACCTGGCTCAACATAAGCGAATACACACCGGGGAGAAGCCCTACGAATGTAAGGAATGTAGGAAAGCCTTCAGCCAGAACGCACACCTCGCTCAGCACCAGAGAGTTCACACTGGAGAGAAACCTTACCAGTGTAACGAGTGTAAGAGAGCCTTCAGCCAGATTGCACACCTGACGCAACACCAGAGGATTCACACTGGAGAGAGACCGTTTGAATGTATTGAGTGTGGAAAGGCCTTTAGTAACGGTTCGTTTCTTGCTCAGCATCAGCGGATTCACACAGGGGAGAAACCTTACGTATGTAATGTGTGTGGGAAAGCCTTTAGCCATCGTGGTTACCTAATCGTGCATCAGAGGATTCACACCGGAGAGAGACCTTATGAGTGTAAGGAATGCCGGAAGACCTTCAGCCAGTACGCGCACCTGGCTCAGCACCAGAGAGTCCACACTGGAGAGAAACCGTATGAGTGTAAGGTGTGTAGGAAAGCCTTCAGCCAGATCGCATACCTCGATCAACACCAGAGGGTCCATACTGGAGAGAAACCCTATGAATGCATTGAATGTGGGAAGGCCTTCAGCAATAGTTCATCGCTGGCACAACACCAGCGGAGTCACACGGGAGAGAAACCTTACATGTGTAAGGAGTGCAGGAAAACATTTAGCCAGAATGCAGGCCTTGCTCAGCACCAGCGGATCCATACTGGAGAGAAA